GCACAGACACACACACACACACACACTCACTCACACACACACACGCACACTCACTCACACACACACTCACACACACACACACAATCCAGGAATTGAGTTTGACAGCTCTGCATTAGATCAAGAGAAAATCACGCACTGCTCTTGACTGAATAACTGTAGTAGCTTTACAGTTTTTGCCTATTGCTTGAACACTTTTTGCAAAACTTCGGCTCATTGTGTCAAAACTTTACACACAAGACACAACACTGGGAAATAAATCATTCACATCTATGTCGAATTGAAACTGCTATCAAAACCTAACAATCCTTTGTCAAAATGTCACTCTGATGACAAAATGATACACACTTGCATCATATGAATACACTTTCAGATTAGCAGCAACACACTAGTCTACTTTATATAAAACACTGCAGTCTTTAATTTTCACTGTTTTTATTCAGTTCATCAGTTAGCATTCTGTGAAGCTCAATCAGAATCAGAATGAGTTTTTATTGCCAGGTATGTTTACACATACGAGGAATTTGTTTTCATGACAGAACATGAATATTATTTAATAATATTATTCAATGCAACACTTACAGTTTTTGTTCTGTTTTTTTCCAACAAAGGTTTTCACAACAACCAAAAAAAAAGCACTGAAAGGTTACAAATGACATCAACTCAATACTGCACATCACAGTACTATACTTTACAGTACAGTACAGTAAATGCAGTAATGCAAAAATAATACAAAAATAAAACACAAAGTACACTACTGTAAATACAGAAAAACAGGCTAATTGTGTGTGGGTGGGATTACAGATGCTGCCGTCTGTTTGGGTCTGGCCACAGGATCTCATCATGTTGCTCTAATATCATCTGAAATATTGTTCCATGCATCGCCTCTTCGACCATGTCCTACTCCTCTTCCTCTTCCTCTTCCTCTTCCTCTTGCTCTGCCTCTGCCTCTTCCTCTTCCTCTGCCTCTTCCTCTTCCTCTTGCTCTGCCTCTGCCTCTTCCTCTTCCTCTTCCTCTGCCTCTTCCTCGTCCTCTTCCTCTTCCTCTGACTCTTGCTCTTCCTCTTCCTCGTCCTCTTCCTCTTCCTCTGACTCTTGCTCTCCCTCTTCCTCTTCCTCTTCCTCTTCCTCTTGCTCTGCCTCTGCCTCTTCCTCTTCCTCTGCCTCTTCCTCTTCCTCTTGCTCTGCCTCTGCCTCTTCCTCTTCCTCTTCCTCTGCCTCTTCCTCGTCCTCTTCCTCTTCCTCTGACTCTTGCTCTTCCTCTTCCTCGTCCTCTTCCTCTTCCTCTGACTCTTGCTCTCCCTCTTCCTCTTCCTCTTCCTCTTCCTCTTGCTCTCTGCCTCCATGCTTGCAAAGTTCTCAAAATGGCTCAACTGAGGCCTATTTGTGGCTGGCTGATCGGTGATCAGTTTTGTAAGTAAGTGTTTTCAGGTGTGTGTCTAAGTGTTTTCAATCACTCAGTGTGTTTTGTATTTTGAATAGATGTGTTTTCCCAGTGGTACTCATGAGATTTCATTTATGAATGAAGTGTCTTATGTATGAAATAGTGTGTAGTGTGCAGGAGCAAGTGTGCTGCAGAACTGCAACTGAAGTGCAAAGCAGCGCTTTTGTTTAAGGTATGGTTACACTGTGTTTAAGGTGTAGTAACTAAAGCTTCAAGTTTTGTTACTTTGGTCTAAGCATGTGTCTATAGTGTTCAAGCAATAGACAAAAACTGTAATATGGATCGGTGTATTTCATTATTACAGTGAGTGTTTCATTTTTTGCATTTGATTCAATTTCTATAGTATTTTGAATATTAAACCTACATGAAAATCTTAATATAAAATACATTTAATTTATATGTAATTTGCTGCTTTGTTCTTATTTTTAATAAAACTTGTTTATTTAAAGTTAAGTTGTGTAAAGACAGCATTTTAAAGACACAAATCAGCCTTTTGGGATTTTTCCTGTCATGACTATTGTCTAGTGTCATAACATCACACATTTTCTACAAAATACTGAAACGTTCCACAAAAACAATCATTTTGATTGAAAAAACAAACAAAATCATAATAATTGTGATTCTCCAGGTGGATCTGAATAATGTGCTTGAGTTTAAATACGCTTCTCAAGCTGAATGAACATGAACAGAACATGAGATGAAGTGATGAAAACGAGGCTTTAGCATGTTTAACTAAAGAGTTGTTTTTATTTATTTTTATTTTCTATAGGATTGTTCATTACAATAAAAGGAGACGATATGCATGATGGTAACAGGGTTGAACTAACTAAACCAACACATGCTTGCTTTGATGTCCATGTTTAGTATTTACTGTTGATGTTTCCAGAAGAATGTCTGAGATCTGAACTCTCAAACTCCAGTCATCTCACACGTTCCTCACATGATCACGTGTTTTGCTGTGTCTGTCGTTGATGTGTTTGAACACGCTGCAGGTTTCTCAGGTATTCCAGTGATGTCTGCGGCTCCGTTACATGCAGATTTCTCCAGATCACACGCGTGTTTTCATGCTTGTAGCAGTCGGAGCTGCAGATGTTTTGCTCTAGAGATTCGTGTGTGTGTGTGTGTGTGTGTTTAGTCTGTGCCTCCCATCCGCACCACCCAAACTGCCCGGCGCTGGCACAGCTGACCTCAGACCTGTGCTGTCAGTCACGGCTGTAATGTGTGTGTGTGTGTGTGTTTCTCTCGTACAGCAGGTTCACGGCCGGTTTTCCTGGTCCTCAGGAAGTCTGGTCAGGTTCCAGGCTCTTCCTGCGACTGTGTTCGGTACAATGAGCCGCCCTGGATGTCCCATGTTTTCTGCGACCCAGTCAGATTTAGCGACTGTGATCTGGCACAACATTAGATG